GTAAAAAAAAAAACTGAGCTTTGAGGTGTCATTCAAAAGCTATATACAGTATAATGCACATATCAAAAGATGCAGTTAAAGAGACTTGGCCTGAGAGCCAAAGAAAAGAGGAAGTGTCAGTCAAGTAGAGAAATGATGATCAGGCAGCAGGGAGCGAATGAATGAGGCTGAGGGAGCGGGAGCGAGACGCCTAGGAGCAGGTTTAGAGCAGATAGAGAGGTGTGTAGGTGTGTGTTTTATGGGGAAGCATGTTGCCCATGTAAGGAGTATGTGTGAGAAATGGGTTTCAAGCCAGCAAGGGCTGATGCAGCATAACAGTAAGTTCACACATGAACATGCAGACACGCACACGCGCGCACACACACACACACACCCTTGTCTTCCTATATTTGTGGGGACCTGTCATTGAACTAATATGTTCCCCAGCCCCTTAACTTTAACCATTACAACTGAATGGTTGTAATGGTTAACCACACACACATACACACATATATATATATATATATATATATATATATACATACATACACACACATAAATGTTAGTTTAAACATACACACACACACAAACATACACACAAAACACACACACATGCTCACTCCAGAGAGTGGAAGTTGCTTGAGGGAAGCAATAAAATGTGTTGTGGCCAGATCTCATCTGTCACTGCTTATTGCAGCACTGCAGTCTGACCAAAACACATACACACACAAACACACACGCAAACACACACGCAAACACACACGCACACACACACACACACACACACCCCGCTGTAGTCCACAGCAACACACAACAGTGCAGAACCTGGTCCAAACACACACACATCCCTCGGCAGTCTATCTGCATCACTGCACAGTGCTGCATGCGCACACACACAAACACACACACACACACAAACACACACACACACAAACGTATAAACTCCCTCTCTCTTTGCTTCCCTTGGTTATATTAAGAGCAGTAATGATGCTGTGGCATTACTTCATTGTGTGTATCAGTGTGCATGCATGTACGTGTTGGTGCTGGTGTTGTGGACAGAGTAGCTATTAACATAAAGAATGGTTTTATAGCACAAAACACTCCCCCACTGTAAAAAAGACTAGATCCCCAAAACACACACACACACACACACACACACACACACACACACACACACACACTAATGACCTATTTTGTAAAGCACACTGAACATTCCCAGTACACAATAATAAACTCCTCATTTGTTATGTACTTAAGCCATTAAGGGGAGAGGGAGAGAGCACAAGGGGAGGAGGAGTAGAGAGGGGAGAATGAAAGGAGGAAGAAGACAAAAGGCTGCACGTGAAGAGAAGAAGAATCAGAAGAATCAGAAGTATCATTGTGATAGTTAATGTAGATGAGAGATACAATAAGAACAATAAGAGAAACTGCAAGAAGACAGCCAGAAGGATAAAGACAGGAAGAAAGTGAAATGAAGGACTTCTCCACTTCTTCAGCTGGCCAGTACAGGATGCTGTCCATGCAATAACAGTGCCCCCTATCGGCAGCCTATAGAATACCACTATGGATATGGGCAAATCTACATGACATCCAGGTTGAAGTTCCCTGCATTTCTGTTGTGCTTTATTGTAGGTTTTGGCTGTGTCTGTCTCTGCATTGCCCATGTAGAGCTGATGTGATTGGAGCTTTGGCTGAGTGGGTGTCGCATGGGTTTGGAATTAGCTACATGTGCGTGTTCTTGTTCCCATTTTGTTCTTTTTTGTTGTTTGGTTTAATACTTTCAAAGCCATCACAGGTGGTTCAGAAACAACTTCTTTTTAAACCTTTCACAGATGTTTAAAAAAGGCTTAACATCCTGTCTGTGTACAATAATTACAGTAAATGTGAATATGTAAAGTGATCCTGTAAATTTCACCCCCTTTTTCTCCCACACAAGAGGTCAGTTTGAAAATACTGACTTAATAAAATAACTGGTGACATCATTATGAGGTCAGATAGGAGGCCAAGTCTAGTGTTATGCTTTACACATATGCAAGGACATGAGAGTCCACTCAGGTCCGAGTGCTGTAAATTGCGTCATCAGAGGGTGTAGGCGAGGCTCTGTGGTGCCAACAGCCATCCATGTGCACTAAAAAGCTGACAATGAAATATGAACTGTGACATCAGCCTATAATCTTATCTGAAATGTGACATCGTCTTTGAGGTCACAGAGGAAGTTCATACATTAGAAGTGATGACATTCGAGCATTTACGGAACCCAAAATAATATCTGAACTGTGACATCATCAGCGAGCCAAAGAAACAACCAAAAAAATCAGCAATACACACAGTCTCATTTGATCATAAGTTCAGTCAAGTCTTGGATACTTCATGGCTGATATCAAACATCATCTCACTCAATCAATGGGCAAAATATGGGTGAAGGAAGTTTGTTACATGCCTAAAAGTACATAATGTCATCTAATAATAATAGTCATATTACAACTCTGACCCAGAATCAGGGTTACTAGTTTACTCTACTTCAAAAGCCAACACATGCTAGTCTGAATGCTGCTAAAACAACGACTACATGGAGTCTTGACATCTAATAAACTTTCAGTTGACAACTGAATAAAGCCTGGTTTTCATATCTTTTGACCTCCACATGAATGCTTAGTGGTATATTATATATATTGTACTGTTCTTGTTGTTGTTGGGGATATATTTTCTGATTATAAAGCTCATGTCCATATCATGTTTAAACTTACAGAGGGAAATCCAGCAGGACTCAAGCTAAAAGCATAGCACAACTATTGGTGCTAAGTAAACAAATAAATAACAAAATGACAGGTGACAAATCAAGCATAACTGCCTACAATAATGTCTGACGCGTGACATCGTCTGTAATGTCACAGACGCAGGAAACCATTCACAGTTACAGGCAGAACACTGCAGACATTCTGTTATGCTAACTGCTAAATGATTAAAATCTCATGCCCTTGGCTCTTGTTTTTGAAAAGTATCACCCTGTGACAATTTATGTTAACTGACAAAGTAACTGTGACACACAGTGCATTTCCTGCTCTCTTTTAATCTCTCCCTCCCTCTATCTGTATGACTTCCTCTTCTCTTCTCCCTGCCGCATCTCTCTCTCTGTTCCCCTCTTGTTTTCTCTCACACACTCTTCGTCCCTTTCTTCTTCTCTTTAATCCACTCAACGTAGTTGGCTCTTCATCTCCCTCAAACTGGAGCGGAATTCCCATGGGAATCTTGAACCGCATTTAATCAGCAGTTTTCCAGTTTTCCCAGCTTCAAATCCAATCCCACGCCCGCACGCGCACACACACACACACACACACACACACACACACACACACACACACAACACACACACACACACACACACACACACACACACACACACACACACACTTATCTATATCTCATCTAACATTCTGTCTCTATTACTTTCTCACTACACCCTCATAATTCTTAACATTCAAAAACATGCAAACAAATCCATGCACAATAATATGAGTGAGATTGTACAAAACAAGAATAAGAGTCAACAGCCATAACAACAGCTGTGAGGCTGTAATGCTCATTGTAAACCAAATTGTGTGAGCCATTGTTTGTGTTTTATCTGTAAGCATCATGGTGAAGCGAATAAAAATGGCAGTGGTTTGTAAGGCAATGGTAGTCATATTGAAATGCTTTAGTGACAGTGTTAATATGCTGCTGTCGTTATTTTGCAGCTTTTTGATCATAAATCAAAGTGTTGTAAAAAAGGCCTGATGGTAATGCTAGTTGAAAGACAGGGGATCAATAAAGTTATTACCTCTGCCAAGGAGGTTACACTCATGGTCAGAATTATTGGCATCTGACATTGAAGTCATTGGACTGACTTGCATATGCGGACTTTTTCTTTATGTTTTCTGTTTCTCTTTTATTTTAGGGTTATATTTCTATGTATATATATATATATATATATAGGCATCCATGAATTTTAAGTACAGAATTTAGAATATCTTCAGAAATAAATGCAAATGAACCAAGTTTGTATCAGTCAGAATATTCAATAAAATGTCCAAAGTTACTGAACAACAACAACAACAAAACAAAAATGTTTTCATATAATGAAATAAAAAATACAGACGTAAAATGTACCGCATACACAATTGGCATCCTTTTGTTGAATTTAGATGAGTTCCTCAAGCAAAACAAATGATAGGACAAATAGTAGGGCTCCATGAGCAAAAGTCAAGGAGGACACCACTATTGAAAGAAAGGCAGAAAAAGGCAAGCATCTCAGCACTTTGTATATTTGGCTTCACATAACCATCTTTCCTACAAAATCTAAACACTGTCTTTAAAGTCAAAAGCAAATTAAGTTTTGGATATTGAAAAAAACTATTAGATGAAATAAGTAGATGGTTTATTGATTTGAGTATAGAGCAGCCATGTCATGTAGTTTATGGGTGAGTATTGCTCATTTGCAACGTTCACTCTGAGCTCATTCACCTGGCTGCTTTCAATTAATGCTTGCACATATACAATCATTGTGATGGGACAAACACAACACGTACACACACTTGTTGAAATTCAAACACCTTGGAGCCATGAAGTCTCAGAGGAGTCAGGCATCAGATCACACAGTGAAATCCAGACAAACACGTCCTTGCACACATAACAACTTGCGGTTTAAATTCTAGTGAAGGCATCTGGTGTGTTTTAAGAGAGTAAGACCTGAGGTTGTTCTGGGAATAAACACACACACACACACACACACACAACCACCCACACACACACAACCACACACAACCACACACACACACACACACACACACACAGATCTAATCACAGATGCTAGCAAAATCTTAGATACATGTCAGGGTCCATCCAAAAGCAGCCGGGGGATGCTGTCTGTCTTTTTGTGCATGGGTAGGCGTAGTGTCTCCTTGTGTATGTATATTCTCACGTGCGTAAGTGCGCAAAGGTGTTTATGTGTCTATTCATATTGTGTTTACATGCATTTAGCCCACCTTTGCAATAAGGCTGAGAGGTTCTTGGCAGGAGGATGGCAGTGCTGATGTCATTTCCTGTGCCAGGTCAGGTATTTCCGGTTGTAGGTACATCTCTAACATGGAAGCCAGCTGAGACAAACCTTGTTCCTTCTGTTCAGACATGGAATTCAGGTCTGTGGGAAAAAAAGAAGAAATGAATAAGTAAAAATCACCTGGCTGTCCCTGTGAGAAATGTGCAGAAAGAGATTTAGAACAAGCAAACTTTGTCTTCTGCTTTGACATTGACAGACACAGAAATACACCCATCTCTAACAGCAGAAATATGATGGTGAGAGCTGCCATTTTTTTTATTGAACCGGTATTAGATTCACACAAACACACACACAAGACTTACGTGATTCATGCTCTCCCAAAGTGTATAGTTCTTCACTACTGCCCTTAGATGTATTTAACTAGAGGGAAGGGGAAGAAGAAGAAAGTGCTTTTCATCCTTTAAGTTACAAGGTCATCATAACACAGTAGCAATGTGCAGCACTTCACAACTAGCAGGGTTATTGCATCTTTCTTGGTGCACATTATTGTGAAAGTGTCTGTCTGTAGGAAACTCCAGAAACATACCAAGGCAAAGATGAGTCTCGCAGCCAGACGGACTGAATCAGTGGGAATTCTGGGTAGCAGGTTCCGCAGACATTTACACTCTCTCTTATGGCTAGACCATGCTTGTTTCTGCAAGAGAAGGGCATTTTAACAGATTGACACAAACAAACATACACACACACACACTTTCATACACACACACACACACACACACACACACACACACACACACACACACACACACACACACACACACACACACAAATGATAGTACCTGGCAAGTGGCATTGCAGTACCGAGCCGTCTTACACTGGGAACACCTCAACAATGTCTCACGTCTAGACAGAAGGAGAGAGAAAAAGATTTATCATTCTGCACATACTGTCAACTGAACTTAAACAAATCTGGTACTCCAGCATTAAAGAAAACAAAATCATTCAAAGGCTGATTCACTGTTATCAAGAAGCTCTCTACGCCAAAGGTTAAAAAATATTTAAGCTTTCCATACAAAATGAATGACTCAGTGACCAGGAATGGAACAGCAACTTGAGATTTCTAAAATCACAGACGTCAGACTTTCATTACTGTTGCACCATTTTAGTGTTTGAATAAAAACTGTTCAGCTGCTCCGCATACAAAACTGTATTGGTCATAGCTAAGCGGTTACATTACGAACAGACCCACATATCCACTCAAGCATCCTTTATGCTCCCGTCATTGTCTTGACCTTTTCCCATCAACAATCTTGTCTTATCCTTTTCTGTTTGCTATATTAAGCTGAGTGTGTGCATCCATTACCTAGTTTTATCTACCTGCTCATCTTCTTTTAGATTGTCATCTAAGAGCAATACATTAGCTCCACTCTCCTCTCTGTCAGAGCTTGTTTTTGCATTACAGTACTCGCAGGTGTCTGAGCATCTGTGTGTGCCCGCCTGTGGTGTTGATGTCTGTTTTTGTGTGTGTGTACATTTCCTGCCTCCGAGGTCTGATGTGTCTCTCAGAGTGACACCACTGTCCTTTCTAGTTTGCCTGTCAGTCTGATGACAAGCAAGAGCACAGCAGTGTCTGTCTGCTACACAGCCAATTACAGCCAGTAGAGAGTGCATCACTAAAACACACATACAAACACACAAGACAAGATCTGAGTCAAACGACCTCTGCCAGAGTTTGTGTGTATGTTCGGGCATAGGTCGGTACAATACATACAGATTATATACATAGGTAATGTGCTTGCAATACATAATATTACAGCAGGGTTTGTTTTGTTTTTTTTGGCATTTTTGCTTTTATTCAGCAGTAGAGATTGATTGATTGATCAATCACTCAATCTATCAATCTTTATCTGTTAATAATAAAAACTAAAAACAGAAAAGTACTCCAGTGCTTTCATGGTCATACAATGAATAATTAAAGAATAGTTTCAGTTTCCTGTCTAAAAAGAATAGTCAGGTTCACATGAGACCACTGAAACCATTTTTACTTGCTGCAATCATTCCATGAATGTATTATCAGAGCTGGATTCAGCGCTGCCACTCGGCCGTTCTGCCAATTTGCCCCAGTGGCTACTTGTGGTACTGCAGCGGAAAAAGATGTTTTTTTACCCTCAGCCTATCATTATAAAAGGGACATCTGTAAAACAGTGGAGAGGTCACCCCCGACTACAAACTAGGTCAATTATCACTTTATGTTATGATTTTTTTTATCTATGGTTTCATAGATGTAAAACTTTCCCAGAGCCTAGAAAAGTGAAAAGTTTTAATCTATATGATGTCATCCCAGTGTCTATTCCAAGTCTATGGACAAACACTAATGTGCATGTGCAGTGGGCCGCACGATGCAGAAGCAATCCTAGAAGCCAGGCTTTTGGCATATCAAATCAAGTGATGATCAAATGACAGTAACAGATCCTTTACTAACATGCTTCAAGTGAAAGTGATGAGGCAAAATCAACAGTCCTTATTTTGTTATTTTGCAAAATCTACTCAAATGTTTATCTGAAAATACCACAAGGATTCAGCAATCTAAGAAACCAAGCAGGTTAGTCTTCTTAGTAGTTTTTAAACATACATATTAGTTTAAGATAATACTTTCTCTCTCTTTTTACAATCATTTTTTTAATATGTCACAAAGGAGACAGGCATGACACATGCAACAAATATCCCCAGCTGAAATCAAACGGGGCTTGATACAATTACATGGTCTGCACCTTAGACCACTGAGTGACAGGGATGCACCAAATACAGAAGTTTTTTTGTCTATAACCTTGAATGTCACCTCTGTAACAACATGGTGGTGGACCATGTCTGTCTGTAGAGCTTTATAATCTCATTTTATGCAGTATTTCTGGGCTTCAGTGAGGCACTTCTGCCAGACGCTCAGTCTCACAACTTTGATTTCATCTTGTCAAACACAGTCATGTTGAAAGTCTGCATTTAAAGTGCATTCGGAAAGTATTCAGACCCCTTCAATTTTTTCACATTATATTATGTTATTTAAATTAATTTTTTCCATCATCAATCTACACTCTACACCCCATAATGACAAAGCCAAAACAGAATTTTTGACATTTTTGCAAATTTGTTAAAAAGGAAAGTGAAGTCTGACTGACTGAATATTTTCTCAATGCACTGTAGATGCACAAGTAAGTACTAACAACAACTGACAAGCCCGAATGCTCAGTGACTTGCACTGAAGCGCACGTGTGTGTAAAGGATTTCTCTGCAGTATTAGTGTCATTCCAACACTAGAGCGTACAGGAAGCATGTCGTGGTGGGCAGAGGAGCCTAAGGCTGGTTTGGTATGAGTTCATATACAGTAAGAAGTCACTCAGTGTGGTTCATCATACGATGGAGAGGAAATGATAAAGTATTGCTAATTAAATGTGACAATGGATGGTATTATGAGCTTACACACAGAAAATGAGATAATGGAGAACATGTTATGATGGATGTAAATACATTAGCCCGGGGCTTATCGTACTCAATATGTGATATTTGATTAGATTGGACCTACTTATGAATGCAGTGGATGATATTATAAGAACCTTAAAGGCAAAAGCAGAAATAGAATATGAATACACACAATGTGGGTCTGACAGAAGGCTGTTGCCTGTCAACATTAGCGACAGAAGTTAAGTGCGTTTCCTCTGACCATGTATCAGTGAGTGACAAGACTGGTCTGTTGTTTTTGGCTCGAGGCCCCTGTATGCTTGGACTAGTTTCCAAAACACACTCCTCTTTTCTGTTCTGTCCTCCTCACCCTCTTAGTTCCTTAATTTACAGCTTTCCTCTCCATCCGTCTCATCTTTTCCTCCCTTTCCCCACCCCCCTCCTGTTATGCCACTGTGTCTTTTTTGCGATGACCTTTCCAGCCTAGAACCCAGTGGTGAATTTATAGTCTCACCCTGGGATGGTGGTTCATGAAAACACAGCTATTCTTGTCATGTTGAGACCGACCAGAAACAGGGAAGCCACCCACAGTTTAAGAAACACATGCCTGCAGTATGAGACGCAAAGCAATAATAACAGATAGGACCACGCCAGACCCAAACACGGTCAGGTTCTGTGCAGCTTCAACAGATCCACTGAGAACATAACTCAGACACTAAAGGTTTGGACACATCTTAAGCAGCGGGCTGCTGGGAAGTCCATCCATCTTCCATGACCCCGACAGGAGGGCTGATGCTGACCACGACCCCTATATTTACCTTTATACGTGTTCTTTTTAGCTTAACTTTGTGGGAAATGTTGCGCCTCGGGATGCAATCTTAAACTTAAAGAGCTATTTGGGGAAACCAGTACAGAAACTGTTCAAAATCTGTTTAGGAATGAATTAAATCACAAACATGGAAGATTATGGGATTTATGGTCATTACTTGAGGCTCCATGCTGAGGTAATGGTTATAAGTAATACAACAAAGCTAAAAAGAGCTGGAAACAGCACAATAGAAAAAGAACACTTGGAAAATGTTATACAAAAATTCAAAGCAGAGTCATTTCTGAAGGACATTTAATGAGGGGAAAAATCAGTTATTCTAAAGGGTTATTCTAATGACTGAAAAGAGAAACACATACCAGTGTTTAAAACCATGCAGCAATCATATTCAAACTAGGTAAGGATTTTGTATATAAATGTTTTTGTAAATATATATTTATTACCTCCATAGTGAGTTTTCTACATTTTATTTCTCTTTGTTAGCAAGATATGTTGTACAGCTAATAAAGTTATTAGGTAATTCTTAAGAAACACTGTAAAAAGGTCAGCCATGAGACAAAGAAGACATTGTTGACTTGTAATGGAAATTGTAAAACTGGCCATTGATGAGTTAAATGATTGAGATTGTCAACACCGTTTCTAAACTATATTAATCTAAAGTGCCCCCCAAATGGTTTCACTTCTATCTGATCTTTACATGAAGCACCAGCTGATCTGATCAGAAAGCCATCTCTGAAACCACCAACACTGCAGCAGTTTCAGATATTTTACAAATATATTAAACTAACATAATTTACAAAAAGTTTCTGACAGATAGGGACAAGCAACCAGATGATATATGCCATTTGATAATAACAAATTTTCAACAGTCAGAATTTGCCATTGTAAGCAATGCTGCAAATCAACGAGCGGGACCATTTTATGGCAATATTGAGTTTGCAGGAGTTCTGAATCAATGTGATGACGTGGCCTGATTTCCCTAGTATAGTTCACTGGATTTGCCAAAAAAGACTTAGTTATTTATAAGTTATTTTATTTTTTACCATTCCTCAAAATGAGTCTCAAGGAAATTTACTGTATCAAGAAACAAACTATCAAAACTGCAATACATGTACTGTTTTACATATACTAAATTACTACTACCAAGCAATGAAATATGGATGCAACAACTGAGTGACATGAAAGAAGAGTAATTCAGGGAGGATGTGAGGCAGACATAATCATTCCAATACTATACTGTTTGTAGTTACTCAGCCACATTAATGCACAGTTGCACCACAGCAACTGTTGTTATGGTGACCGCCTCCAGGCTGAAAAGCTCTCAGCATTTACAGGATATTCACTCAAACACACAAGTGTATATGTGTTAGTCACATGATTCAGGTATTCCAGCAGGACTGAAGAGGTCATATCTTGGCTGAACATAAGTGGACATTCGTGGAACAAAATAACTTTCAGACAGAAATGTCCTCTTTAGCAGAGAAAAATGTGACATTCATTTTGCTTATTGGCAAATGTGATTTTGAGGGTATCTGAAATATCTAACCATAGTTCCATATCATCATCAACAACAACAACAACAACAACAACAAAAACACACTTCTTTTTATAGTATCATCCTGTA